GGGGCGAGGAGGGTGACCGTGTTGGGTGACACAGGACATCTGCCACCAGCACGTGCTGCTGGGCAGCAGAAATCACCCCCCCGAGTAAAAACCTCCCCTGGGAGCCCCTGGGGAACACCTCCCGTGACGGGGCCTTCATGGAGCCCGGGCTGTTCCCTGCCCCCTTCCCATGGTTTCTTTGCCAAATGTAGGAGCTGCCAGCAGGAGCCCTGCTCCGGAGCCCCCCTGCCAGCCCTCGCGTCCCGTGCTGTTTGTTGTTCCTATTTGGCTGCTCCATCCCATAACTGCTTTCCCATCTGCAGCGCGGGAAGTCACACACTTTATTTCTTCTGCAGTTTCTTGCTGTTCACAGGATTGATTTTTTTTTTTTTTTTTTTTTTAAACAGAGCCACCACAGGGGAATGAGTCCTTTACAGTAAAACAACTCTTAAGATAAATCCAATTTCGAGTCTAAAAACACTGACAATGGCCCTTGCAAACGTGCCTCCCCCCTGCCAGCGGCACTGCCTGCCTCCAGCAGCAGCTCCACCTGGAAGCATGGGAGAATACACCACTTAGTTGCCCAAATACACTTAGAAATGTATTCAAAAGCAGCATGTATGGGCTGAAGATAAACCTTGCCAGCCTTGTCGGAAAGAATAAAACCAACTGAGCTCTGCATAAGCCTTTGCAAAGAGTTTTTCTATGCTGAGTCAAAAAACTCTAAAATTACCAAAATAACCACAGCTGGGGAAAGCCGGTGGTGTGGGACCCCGGGCTCCTCTCCAGCCTCGTGGGAGGTGTTCACTAAGGCTCCCTCTCCCTGCCCTCCGTCCTTGGGAGGGGCATCTCCTACAGCCCCAGGCATGTGCAAGCGAGAAGCACGTATCGGATCTTTGCAGAGAAGAAGAAAAACAGAACTGATATGGAAGTTTTTTCCCTCTAGCGCCCTGCTACATCAAGGCTTTTGACTTCATAATTTCACTGGGTAACTCCTGCTTCTTTTTTTTTTTTTTTGTGAAGTATCCTTTCTCACCTTCAGGCTTTTCATGATTTTGTGTCTTGGATGTTTCCAAGCTGAAATTTTTTTTTCTCCTAAAAAAGAATTTATTCTGTTCTCTTGATCATCCTCCTGCATATTTTTCCTGATTTTACTATATTCTTTTTGAGTTACCAGAAATACACGAAGAGTTCAGGATATGAGTTCGCCAGAACTCCCCCAATGGCACAGCTGAGTTTTACTCTCTTGTTCCGACTTCCTTTCTTAATAATTCCAAATAATACTCTAAAATAACCTTTTTTTAAAAAATTTCTTCTGAGCATGGAGTTGGAGCTCTCGGAGCCATCTGTGACGATTCCAAAACCTCTCTCCAGAATGACAAAAGCTAATTTAGGGCCCAAGACTGTGTGTGTATAATTAGGGATTATTTCTCCCTGTATCTGTGTATTGACATTTTGGCTACCGTTTTAGTGCCCTGTTGCTGAGTGTTGTGGATTTCAAAGGTTGGATTTGCTGATTTAAGTGATTTTCCAAGATCACTGCAGAAGTCCATTGTAAAGACTGATAATATTGTCTTGGTACGGTTAACGTTTACCTTGCTGGAGTTCGTATTTCATTTTCTTTGTTTGCCACGTAAGGATACTTTTACATCTAATGACCTCCCTTACTCTGTTGTTTAAGTGTTTTTGGTTAACCAATGCATTTTCAGCCACGTTCCCATGTCTGTTGAGGACGCGGTCATCAGCTGCTCCCCCAGAATTGAGCCATGCCACGCTCTGGCGTGGTGCCGGTCGGTACGGGCGAGCCAGCTGGCATCGCCCCCAGCCCTGCGTTTCCACCTTTGCAGGGGATTAACCCCCCTGGGCATTTCACCCCCCTCCCCTGCCAGCCTGGAGGGTTAATCCACAGAGATTGGTGCAGGCTTTGCTACGCTCAGCCTAGTAAATCACATTTTTCTTCCTGTGCAGCCCCTTGCCCAGCAGCAGCGTAACTCTGCTCGTCCTCGGCACTGCAGCCCGGCTGTAACGAGACCCCTTGGAAAGAGCCTTCTGAAGATCCCGTTTCACAAGGGGGATGCAGCTGGGTCACAGCATGGCCACTCTCTGTCTCCAAACCTGGCATGTCAGCCAGGGATGCCTGCC